ATTAATGTTACAGTCAATAAAGCCAAAGACGTTTTTGCATTTGTAAAGCGATGGTCAAAAGAGTTCAAAGATCCTTATGTTACAAAAGCTCTTTTTACCACTTTAGTTAGACCTATACTCGAATACGGATCTATTGTTTGGAATCCCCGCTACCAAGTTCATTCAGAGAGGATGGAATCAATTCAAAAACAATTCTTGCTTTTTGCGTTGCGTGACTTTAACTGGGATGCAGATTACAATCTCCCCCCTTACACAAGTCGTCTAAAGCTCATAAATTTGCCTACACTCGCAAGTCGTAGAGAAATGCTAGGTATAATATTTATCGTAAAATTAACCACAGGCTTGATTAATAGCCCGGCCCTCCTGGCTGAGGTCAATTTTAATGTGCCCTCTCGAGTGTCAAGAGACTTTCGACCTCTGTTTTTGAAGCCATGCAAAACTAATTTTGAACTAAACGAATCATGCCGTTGTTTATGTCAAGATTTTAACTCTAATTCCAGCATGTTTGATATATCGGACTCGATTTTTACTATAAAGAAAACTATCATTTCCACTCTCAATAATTGAAATACTATCTTTAGCATATCCAATCAGCTGAAGAATTTGATTCTGTAGCTGAATAACAAACCGCTGTTTCCACTACTCTGCACCAAAAAACTTAAAAAAAAACAAAAAGGTTTCGTACGTCACGCGGACTGCGCCCCTCGTGTCGGTTGGGCGGGAATGGAGGGTAAAAAAAAGCCGTTGGGATTAATTAATTAATTCTGCTTGCTAGTGGAAGAGAGGTATTGAGAAGAAAAGGGAAGAGTACATATGCGACGGTACCGTCAAGTGGTTTCAAGTTTCTTCCTTGCTTTTGACATTTTCGTTGTTTCCTACCAAGACCAAGAAAGAACCAAAAACTGGAATTCAACAAAATTTAAGCGTGTAAAAGCAAGTAGAAAAGGCAAAATACAATGAACCAGAATTACTTTAAAGCACTTGAATCATGTAAATCGGGAGTAATTAAATTTGAAAAAAATTAGTTTGAATATCTTTTTGGAACCATACTATGGCGTCGATGGAAGAAACTATTGATATAAGCCAGGGTTAGTAGAATTTTGGAGATTCTTGTATTTCCGTTTGATATTGATTGGAAGTTGGGGTACGGTTCGGCTATTTGTACAATGATTTGGGTTCTTATAGCACACGATTGAAATATGGACTTTTCCGTAAATTTTGGAGTTCTCTGCAAAAATACTGTGGCTTGGGTTTTTTGTAATACATACAGTTTTCTTTACGTTTACAAGCGATTCTACGATTGGAAATTTTAGGTTTTTATATTATCGGCTTAAAATATCTTAAAAATCGAAGACAAAGGTCAAAGTTGCTGAAAATCGGGAACTTAATAAAACTAAAATATATAAATAGCTTACTCAATGCATTTTGAATTTTATCCCAAATTATACGCACAATTATCACATTTGTACGTAGTCCAATTCACGAAATCATTTCATGGATCTGAGTAAAAACTCAATCCATAAACTCCATTTCGTGTAGGTATAATTGAAATCATGAAATTGAACGCATAAAATGATTTCAGTAAATGACAACACGAATTACAACAATCCCGTTTTTACAATTTCATAGTTTCGGGTTTTATTTTTAAAATGCAACATAAGCACGTAGTATGTCCATATGTCGGCTGAGTTATCCATTTTGGGTTATTTAGTGAACAAAATAAACGCAAACTACAATGATGCCTATTATGGTATCCGACAGATGGTTGCGGAGGGAGTTTTACTCACTTTTGACAGATTTTGGTATTATCGAAAACGCTCGAAAATGCAGTTTGCAGATGAGTCAAAAGAGGTTAATGCAGTTTGCGAATGAAATAAAAAAGTGGCATCATTGAAAACGCATCCGATCCGTGATTCGTACAAATTTCTCTATCTGACATTCACGCGCCATTATGCTGCGGATACTAAAAACGATAAGATGGATAACAATAAAATGTAAAAAAATTACAATTATTTATTCCTTTAATATTGTAATATTGTAAAAAAAATACACAAACTTGTGTGTTTTAAGAAGCGTACAACGACCAGGGAGCAATTTAAATGTTTAGTTTCCAAAATGAAGGAGCATCCGGACATAGCAAAAAATTCTACTAAAAATGCACCTGATTTGGTAAAAAGATTTTGGGAAAGTGTGCGAGAGGAGTTGAATTGCTAAAGTAATCCATCTGGGACATAAAGTGGCTTCTAAGATGTTTAGAACATCAGAGAGTACTACAGAGACTGTGGATTGTGCCATACCAATATTAAAATCTTGGCCAGTACCATTCTGATAGCCCCCTTCAGCTAAAAACCTTAAACAGGCTTCTAATTTAAGCTCTGGCGTTATGGAACATGATCTTCGAACTGGAGGCAATTTCTGCATTAATATTTCCAAAACGTACTTGAATGCTAACTTGTTAAGCCGGAACTGTTTTACAAATCTGTATAAGGAACTCACATGTTAAAATGAAATAAAGACTTCAATAAATTTACTCACACCTCATCCGGCAACTCGAATACATTCACAACATTATCCCTGACTTTCCTTCTAGTCCGTCGCATATCACTCCTGGTGTTTTCATCAAAATCAATAAAAAAAGCCACAGAATCCATTTAATATTTGCAATAAATTTCACCAATGTAAACAAAAATCCTTCACACATATAAGCACAGCTGATTATGTTGGCAATACAGTTCACAAGAGGCAACGCAGTGCATCCGTCGGTATCAATAATAGCGTTTACTTAAAAAAGTGAATCGAGTACGGATCGGATTAGATCCGAGCGGATGGAATCCGTCGGATACCATAATAGGCATGAATGACTTTGTACAACATGGCCATTAATGTAGCTACGAGTTGTACAACTTGCCAGAAAACCAAATTTTTTTTAACTTTCATACAACCAAGGCACATATTCATTCAACAGGCCCATATAACGGTGCAATCTAGAGCAAAACATCACCACGTTGAACCCACAGTCGCTACGTTTATGGCTTTCTTTAAGAAACGCCGGGTCGAAAATTTCAACTGCTCTTGTAACACTACCTTATATGAGTTCGTCTTGCTATCATCCTCACATATGTTCATCAAAGTATAAAGGCGAATTCATATTAGGTGATAGCGGGAGAACAAAAACTAGTGTTGGGCTGTATCGATACCAAAAGTACTCAAGACTTGATTCTCAAAAGGATCGACAGTACCCGATTTTTAAAAGTATCGATACTAAGTTCTCCAAAGTAGCATTCAATCGACGATATTTGGTATTAATATATTAATTTCAATAAAGTCTTGCTAGCTATTCAGATTTCTACACTAGGCATTGAAATGTTACCAACATATATACATATATTTAAAGAAAGTACTCGATACTCCCAACACTAACAAAAACTACTCTAACAAATTATACACGCATTGACAAACATGAACAAACCCAATTTGACACAGGGCGAAGACGAGTTCGAATCGACGTCGCTCTGGTGAAGTCATTTAGGTGAACTCGAAACGACGTCGAAACGAAGTCGTTTTTTCCATACAAAATGCAACGTCGTTCTGACGTCGTTTCTTTCTCATCGAATCGAAGTCGTTGCGACGTCGGTCTGGTACAGTCGTTTGGGTGAACTCGAAACGAATTCGTTTCTTCGAACCCACAAGTTTTTTGAGGAACCATCGCCCTAGGTTGGACAAGTTCCACGCCCACATTTTTATATATCTAAGCATAAATAAAGTCATCCATTTGGATAGTAAACCGTTTTTATTATGATAATTTTTTATTATGGAATATGGAATCCACAATATACACTTGTGTATAAAATTTTTATTTTTTTTATTTTTTTATAAAGGTACAGTTCTTTCTATTGGCCTTATTAATAAAAAATAAAATTTGTGGGTATGAAGTTTTTTTAAATTTGGTATAAAACTGTACTTTTACTTTAAATTTGGTATAAATTTTGAGCGTCGTTTTGAAGTTCCCTGGTACATCATTTTGCGAGCTGCAGGGGAATCGTTTTTGCGACCCGCCAGTAAGTCGTTATTGCGACTCTTTTAGCGGCCCGCCGGCGAACTGTGATTTTCATCCGACGACGAGTTCGCTGGCGAGTCGTTTGCGACCGTCGCTGGCGAACAAATTGTTCACCATAACGAGTCGGAAACGACGTCGTTATGACGTCGTTTGGCAAATTGGGTACACACAAATATTTATAGATACATACATGTACAACCATTCAAACATATGGACATGCATGAAAAAACTGCTGTCCATAAGTACATACATCAGTATATCAACGAAGCCTGTTTGTTTCATCATACATGTATCCATACAAACATATGTACATATGTATGTACGAATAGAGGTAGGTCCACGAAGCACGCTTGCTTGATAGCGGCAGAGCTGAAATGCGTACATCTGTGTGTATGTAGGTACGTGTATGCGTGCGCGTTGAAGATGTGTCTGCTATCGCTTTGTATCGCCGTCATACGTCGCTTTCTTTCTTTTTTCCGTGTATGCGTGCGCGTTGAAGATGTGTGTGCTACCGCTTTGTATCGCCGTCATACGTCGCTTTCTTTCTTTTTTCCCCTTCTCTATACTATATCTTCCTTCTTACTCATGTAACATTTTCAGTTTTAAAAATTTCACTCTCCATTTTTCGGATACCGCCACCTAAGAAGTTTCACTTTAAAAAAGCTTTTTCTAATAGCGGCCGCCCCTCGGCAGGCAATGGCAAACCTCCGGGTGTATTTCTGCTATGAAAAAATAGCTTCTTATAAAAATACAATCACCATTCGGAGTCAACGTAAAACTGTAGGTCCCTCCACTTTGTGTGACAATATCAACGCGCATGGCACAAATCGGTGGAGAAGCTTGGCTAAAGACTAACAAATGTGAAAGCGCCAACATATTATTATTACACGTTATATTAAAACAAATTTTATTTTAAAAGTGAATTACCTACATTTTTATTCAAACTCACTGTCAAATGTTTGGCGAAACTTTTTCCAAAATAACATAGCCAATTTCCAAATTGTTTTCATCATTCGTGATGTCTACTGTTTTCTCAGAATACATTTTCCCTTTTTCGAAGTTCGTTTAGAATAGGAGGAAAATAAAAAGTCCTCAAAGAGTTGAGTTTCTATACAGAATCGGACTGTACATGTTTTGCTTTTAGATAAATACATTAATACATACTTTTTTATGACTTTTAAAGACGGAGCATTTGAATGTATCTGTGCTGGCATCTCGTGCAATATAGCTAAATATCTTGAGATCGCTACTATCGTGCGATACGTAGAAAATTCTGTAGATGGGATGATTGAGTAGTTCGATTTCTTCTGCGTCATTTGTCCAGTTCCTTTTCTGCATTAAATACAGAGGTTTTAATTAAAAAATTAATTGAGATTGAATTATTTGCTACTAACTTTTCTCCGGCGTTTCTTGAGCACCACTCGAACTCCGTTCACCGAAACGTGGATAGTCACTTTGCGCTTTTTTAGATTTTGAACTTTGCACTCATACTGAAAAAAGAAAAAAGGAAAATAAGTAATTTTTTAAAAATATTATCCTTATAAACAAATGTAGGTATGTATTTATAGGACATCATCCTTATTTAAACAAAATGTTTTTTTTACCAAAAGTGCTGGCGCTACTGCAATGCGATATGCCCCAATTAGTCATTTCCATGGCGCAATAAACAGGTGAAGTAATAAGGCAGCGTTCTCTGTTCATGTTCTAACATTCGGCTGCCTTATATTTCACAATGTTGCCTTTATTCGTTGTACGTTTTATGTGTTGCTTCTTTGGAAGTATTTACATATATTTTGGGGGCGATTTGGCCATTTATTATTTGCTTGCAACATTGTTTTTTTTCAAAAACTCCGTTTGAACTTTTGTGGAAAATTTGTTCTTTTCTAAAATTTTTTTTTGAATTTTTGTGGAAAAATACTATAGAGCGTGTCAGACGTGGCAATATATTTCGATGCAATAAATTTCGGAAAGGCTGTCAAATTGAGAAATCAGTTGCATGAGCAGTCACACCTTGCATGGAAAGTGTCTTTCGAAAGAACTTAGCACTTGCAGAAGAAATAAAAATTGCTAAGGCAGCACGAGCAAGTTGAAATATATTTCCGATATCGATTTTCGCTCTTGCAGTTGCAGTCACACCTTGCAACTTTTATTTCTGAAACTGATTTCCAAAAAGTGACAGAAAGATCTTTCTGGCTGTTCAAACATCGAAATAAAATTTCTATTTCTCAATTTGACAGCGAATTGCGTGCGAAAGACGGAAATATTGCCACGTCTGACAAGCTCTTATCTTATATATTATTTCTCTAAGGTGTTTTTTTTTTGTTAGTCTCCTTTTTTATACTTTTCTATGTAAGCAATTTCACTAATGAATTGTCATTTGAAAAGTCAGAGGTCCCCTGAGTGGTTATTAGGTAATATTAATGGTCATAAAACCTCTGAAGTCAAGAAATTTGTAATTTTATTTTTGTTTTTAATTTACTATTGTTAAGCCACACTAAAGGTATTTTGTACTGAAGCACTATTGTGACTGCAGCATCGCATACACCGTATACGACAGTGGTGGGCGCCGCTCCCTTAGCTCAGATATTATTGTTTTTGTTAAAGAAACATTTAATCAAAAAGTTAATTCTGAATATATTTTCACCTCAAACCTAATATATAAAAATAAGTGCACGTTTTTGGTGTGACCTCATAACTTGAGAACAGATTCAAACAAATTTATGCGACATATTCGGGCTATCATGCAGATGGTTTATGTGCAGTTTGCTTGAATTCGGAAAAGGCGGCGTGGCACCACCCATACTAACTAAAATATAAAAATAAGTGAACGTTTTTGAATTGACCATATAACTTGAGAACGGCTTCACCGAATTCAACCAAATTTATATAGCATATTCGGGCCATCATGCAGATATTTTATATGAAGGTTGCCCAAATTTGGAAAAGGGGGCGTGGCATATGTATCTTATGTATAAAAATAAGTACACGTTTTTGGTGTGAGCTTATAACTTGAGAACGGCTTCACCGAATTCAACCAAATTTATACGGCATATTCAGGCTATCATCAGCGTTGCCATTTTGGTCCAATTGGACCAATAAAATTTGTTTGCTTAAGATTGCATACTGCCAGTGCTATCTACTATTTATAGTAACTCTAAAAATATCTATGAATGGTAACCCTGTATTCATAGCAAGCAAAGGAAATAATGGCAAGAGAAAGAGTGAAAGAAAGATGTTAAATGTCAAAAACTTGGCATTTGCGCGCCTTTCTTCAATTGAATTTAACAAACAAGCGAAAAGATTAGTGATGGACAAGTAAGTTAATTTTGCTTTGAATTTGTTACTTTTTAATCGTTGTTTATTTGCAGGTATATCTATAAAGCCTCTAAACCGTCCGAAGTAAGTGTGGACAATAATAACGACGACTTGTTCAGGTAAAAAATTGCGACTAAGTGGGTATGTACATATGTGTTAATTAACAAATACTGAAAATTCTCGTAGTGATGAAAACTCGCTTGCGCCCAAAAACCAAACTCAGAAATAAACTAAACATCAGTACAATAAATAGTATTATGCACTGTAAAGAACTAGTACAAAAGGCTGATGCATATTACGTGTGGTCAGCAAAAAGAGATCTCATAGATGTATGATTTTTTTACAAACGTTTTGTATACAATTAGGAGATATAAAAACTTTGTTTTTGATATAATATAGGATATAAAAACTTTTTGTTGTAAACTGAATAAAAAATATAACCACATAACCAGATAACCTGATAACCAAGCAAGTGTGAGCAACCTAACTTTTATTTAAACGCATAAAATGTCTGAATTTGTTTTTTTATACATCAAAATGTTTGATATGAATTGAATTAATATCAAAACCATATACAATGCTTATAACTGTTTTTTATACGATACGTTAATTAATTTAGTTAAACGCCCGAATTTATTTTGTGTAAACTTCAAGTGTTGCATGAATGGATAACCAACTGTAGCACAGAAACCATATTATTTGGTATTTTAATTTATACCTACTGTTAATCTGCAAAACCTGTAAATTTAATAAAATCTCGTTTTATTGATTAAAAATTTTTTGGTAGTTTGCAAACTGATTTGGTAGGCTTTTTGGTACCTTAAAATATTCTCAAGTGGCAACGCTGGCTATCATGCAGATGGTTTATGTGAAGTTTGCCCGAATTCTTAAAAGGGGGTGTGGCACCTCCCATACTAACTAAAATTTATATATTGTACATCTCATGAAATATTTGTTGTAGAGTACTGGAAATCGGTATATAGGTATAGCAAATACATAATTCTATGCTCATGGAGAAAAATGGGCGGTATTGGAAAAGAGGGCGTGGCACCTCCCATCTTATATATAAACAAGTAATTTTTAGCAAAAAAAACCGACTTCAACTCCCATATAAAAATATATATATATATTTATATATCTCATGATCCACTGATCGGATCTCAACCAGATTAGTATGGGACCACCTCTGAGACACTACCTTTCCGATGCAAAAAGAACTATCGAAATTGGTTGACGTGGTCCAAAGTTATGCGGTAACATACATAAAAAAAAAAAAAAAAAAAAATATTCCGACGAACTGATAACCTCCTCCATTTTTGGAAGTCGGTTAAAATAAGCGCAAGATTTCAACCAAATTTATACGGCACAGTCGGGCTATTATGCAGATGGTTTGTGTTAAGTTTCCCCGAATTTGGAAAAGGGGGGCGTGGCACCACCCATAATAAAAAAATTTTCATCAGGTATATCTCTTGAAATATTTGTGGTAGATTACTGGAAATTGGTATAGACATATGAAATAATTCCATACTCATTGAGAAAAATGTGCGGTATTGGAAAAGGGGGCGTGGCACCTCACATCTTAAATAAAAAAATAAGTGCACGAATTCTACCAAATTTAAACGGTATATTCGGACTATAATGCAGATGGGTTATGCGAAGTGTGCCCGAATTCGGTCCGGCGGTTCATGATATATGACAGTTGATGTCTGTCACATGAACCACGTATATGGTACAACAGCAGATACATGACTAGTAATTTTTAGCAAAAAAAAACCGACTTCGGATCTTAACCAGATTAGTATGGGACCACCTCTGAGACACTACCTTTCCGATGCAAAAAGAATTATCGAAATCGTTATATATATATATCGAAAAGTTATGCGGTAACATACAAAAAAAAAAAAAAAAAAAAAAATATTCCGACGAACTGATAACCTCCTCCTTTTTTGGAAGTCGGTTAAAAACTCAAAACATAGTAAAAAATTGTTGCTATGATGTGCAGTGTTTATTTTTTCTTCGGATAAATTAAGTCAACTATAAACAAGCCTGCAATATAGTAAAAAAAAAATTGCATATAGAAAAATTCCAGGATTTTTCATTCATTTTTCAATATTTGGTGTAGAGAAGCACACCGGGGTACCGCTAGTATTGTATACAAAGATGTGTATGTTGTAAGTAACACCATATTTCCCTCAACTCATGACACTTATATATCTGCCAGTTTGTAATATGTTTTATGTACCTAATAAGTATAAGTTCTGATGTACCATAAATCTAATTCACGCTTTGTAATATATGTCTAGTAAAAATAAGGGGTATATAAGAATAATTCTGCTCTGAATCTGCTCAAATCGATTCGATAAAAGTACTTTTCTTTCGAAGGAGGCATCGAAACAATGATTCGAGTAAAAAAAATAGTTGGTATCGAAACAAAAGTATCGAGTACATACTCGTATTTACTTGTATCGGAACATCCCTACTCTTTGTGTGAACTATTCCGTGGATTTAGTACATCACACTACTCTTATTAGCGTCAAAATCTTTATTTAAGTTTCTAATTATTATTTATTACACTGCCTGTAAATCCTTAAAGCTCTTTGTTATTGCTAGTGTTTGTTTGCGTAATCCACAAAATTGTTTAGCTTCTACATATCTAATTTGAATAAAAAATTATAAATTATGCTTAGTTAATTTAAATGGCTCTTTTATTTTTCAAATAGGGATATTTCAAACGTAATTTTTAATATTATGAATGTATATGTATTAAATAAAACACTTCAAATTATTACCCCTTTTGTAGTCAAAAAGGGTAATTCTTTTTAATGTTTCTGGCCTTTACTCTTTAAAAAAAATCTAAGGGGCGAACACGTCCAATAAGGTAGTGTCAAATCTTCCTTCTCGCTCTTATTACTTCACCTGGTATTATTCCACCATGAGTCATTTCAATTCATATTCAACATACCGTAACCCATTTTATAAGCTAACTTTTTTAGTCCATTAAACAAAGACTTTTGTTATACCTCCCCGATCAAACCATTACAAAAAACATATGCTTGTCAATCCTGACAAAGGTGTCTTGGTTTGACTTAACTAAAGTTGGATTTAGTTTTTGAAGTTATTGCCAATTCAGCAGCCGATTAAAGCGCAGTCATACTACAGTGAAACCCGCTTAAG